AGTTAGTATGTATATACTAACCTTATAGGACAATTTAAAATTTCGAAAGCGGGAAAAGTAAGAAGATATTTCAATATAGGATCTGGAATCAAAAATTAGATCCACTCGAAATATGAAGCGGCCAAAAATGATATATGTATACATATATATTTATTTTCGATTTTAGTCTTAATACAAAAGGAGATTTCCCTAGGTAGATACACATGTATTTATGTAAATGTAAGTACACAAAACTTAATTTTAAAAGCTTATTTTCCGTATCTGTCTCAATTAAAATAATTATAATGAACGCCCAAGTTCGGCATTGTTACATTAGTTGGCACATAAGTAGACCCTGGAGCACACTTGAGACAATCACGTTTGAGTGCCGGCCTTTGCTTAGACTTTGATCCCTGGCAGTGCATAGCGAAGCGCAGCTCTTCGGCCATTTCCGAGCATAACGATTGATTGTCTGTATGCAAATTTTTCTTCGAATTCCAACAGAATTCGAATATCGCTACCACCACAGCAAGCGCTAAGCCACAAAGTAGAACAACGAAAACACCGCCTGAAAAGTAACAAAAAATACATGTGAGATATCAAAAAACATATATATTTATGTGTATATGTATGCATATATAATTTAGAACTAGAGTCATGAATACCCATGACTATATACATATATACATATGTTATATATGTATGTATGTATGTGTAGAGTTGCAGTGTAGGAGGGTCGGGCTACTCTGGTCAAAATACCTGTACCTGGAAATCAGGGTATAATGGTTTTGTCGAAATGTATGTAACAGGCGGAAGGAGGCGTGGCAGACCCCTCAAAGTATATATATTCATAACCAAGACGATGAGCTGAGTCGATTTAGCCCTGTCTGTCTGTCTGTCCGACAGTCCGTATGTTTGAGCGCGTCTATCTCATATATACATATGTATGTGTGTGCTAGAACCTTGAACAGCCCCTCATCCATAAATTTGTAAGAGGCGTTGTGCGTTGGCAAATGCACGCATTTTAATGATACAATCACAATCTAAAAGTAAGTCCATCCACAAGAAAATTGATTAAGCAATTAAGTTCCCATAATAGGCCCACACTGCAGCCCATGCTTGTTTATATGTACGTGTGTGCCTATGTGTGCCTGTGCGTGTGTATGTTTCTTGTGTAAGCAGAAAGACGCGAAGATTCATTGAAATATCAGTTCCTCGAAAAGTTATGGGGATCTCGTAGTCGAGCAGTGTGGACTATTACTTGTTTCTCTAGGGTTTTTTTTTTCGTGTTTTTTTTTTTTTTCGTAATAACAACTCCACTAGATACAAAGAAAATCATTATGCTCGATGTATACAGACAAATACATACGTACCAATATTTTCGACACCTAATGCATTTGCTTTCGATTCCTTGCTTTTATCATCTCTGTTACAGACATCGCCCGTATTTTTCCACCATTTATCATAGAGTATTTGAATAATGCCTTTCTCTTGCAGTTCCAATATAGCTAATGAGATTTTATCCCGCCATGGGGAGCCCTTTGGCGTTGCAATGCCATAGCCTTTCGAGTCAAGGAGTCCTCCTATTTGAGTTAAATTACAATCTCGCTGAACTGCATAGTCCAACATTGTTGACTCCATTAGAAAAGCATAATTGCCCTCCATCACTCGCTTGATGCCATCCTCGTACGTTTTCACGAATACGGAGGTCTTCCGGTTTTCCATGTATCGCCACATTTTTTGGTATATCCCAATTTTCGAGTCCTGGTAGATAAATGCAATACATCGATAAAAATCTTTTCTATACAATTTAAATTGATATTAAAATTCCATATAACAACAGCACAACAAGAAAATTTTGAAAAGTTCTTCAGTAAGCCCGACTTAACGATATACACTACTAATTAAAAGTTGTAAGAAAGCTCTAGTCAAGAATGATAATGCACACACACGCGCGCATACGCCATATGAGCAGTGCTGCCAACTTTTCCGGGCAAGAAAATGCTAAATTACCCTATCAAACCTGCTAGAAGCGGCACTAACCAGAGAAGCGGCTAGATCAAATTCAAGAATAGCCTGATATATAGCCATTTCAGTTGTTAAGGTATAAAAGTATATATATTCTTGATCAGGGCGTCGTGCTAAGTCGATTTAGCCCGGTCCGCCAGTCTGCCCCTCCGTATTCCCGTATGTATGAATTCGTTGATCTAAGAAGATATAAGAGCTAAAGACTTGATTATACCTGAACCCATTGAAAATTGGAAATGTATGTAACAGGCAGAAGGAGGCGTGGCAGACCCCACAAAGTATATATATTCTTGATCAGGCGACGAGCTGAGTCGATTTAGCCCTGTCCGTCTGTCCGTCCGTATGAACGCGTCGATCTCAGAAGATATAAGAACTAGAGACTTGAAATTTTTTTCCTAGCCTAGGACCTAGACCTAGGAATCCTAGGTCTGTGTATATCACGCGCATATCGAGTTTTTCTATAAATATCGATAACTACTCCCGATATTTTATTATCGATTAAAAACCGTATCGAAAGCTAGTTATTTACTTATATCTCCTACACCTTTAGAGCTAGAGCTTCCAAATTTTAAATGTAGACATATGTATTTTATACAATTTCGGGTTTTGTTAAAAATTACCCCCACCCCTATATTCACCCACTCATCCTCACCTTTGTAAAAGGTTTTTCAAATACAAGAGGCTTGTGCTTTGGCAAATACATGTTATGATCATAATCTAAATGTTTCATGAAGATCGTATGTCCACAAGAAAAGTTATTAAACAATTAAGTTCTCATAGTAAGTCACCACTGCAGCCCATGCATTCTTAGGCGTGGGTGCTTGTGTTCGTGTATGTGTGTATATGCGTGTGTGTGTGCGTATGTGTTTGCATATGCGAATTTATTGAAATATCAGTTGCTTGAAGGGCTCAGGGGATCTCGTAGTAGAGCAGTCTCGACTAGAGCTTTCTTACTTGTTTTTATTTTAATGTCCGTAAAAATAGGTCCATGCAAAAGAAAAGTTATTAAGCAATTAAGTTCCAATAGTAGGCACACACTGCAGCAAATGCATCTTTATCCGTGCGTGCGTATGTGTGTGTATGTGCATGTTGTGTACATGTGTTGTTTCTCGTGTGAGCAGAAAGACGCGAAGAATTGTTGAAACATGAATTGCTCGAGGGCTTCAGGGGAGCAGTTTCGACTAGAACTTTTTTACTTGTTATGAATTATGAATATTATTATGAATATTATTATTCGAAAATTGACTCAATAAAATCAGTTTTCTCTTCGGCAGTGTACGAATTGTTTGTGCCAATAATATTCAAGTACTTTGGAACACTTTAAATAATGCTGATTTGATTTTAGATTACAATTTTTCCCGAAATTGGCAGTTGAAAAAAAAAAAAATTTTTTTTTGCAGATGAACTATCTTTATAAAACTTTCAGAACGTCATAATAACATTGAAATGTGTATATTTGTTAAAGCACAAGTTTCTTATATTTGAAGTACACATTTTGCATATTTTGTGGAATGGTGGTGGATTTGGAGGTGGATTAGTATAGAAATTAAAATTCCTTAATCCTTAAAATAAAATCGAATCATTATAGCTAAGCTCAAGGAACCGAAGATTGTACGTCGCTATACCCGGAGGAGGCTTAAACCAGAAAGAGCAAAAACACAATTCATTCACATCTCATCAGTAATTTAGTAGCTAAGTTTTGCTCTAATAATGTAGAAAATTGCGTTTTTCCCGATTTGCCACACCCCTACTGGGCGTAGACATATAATACTTTCATTAATCTTTATAGAATTATAACATTAGCTCACGTTCTAGTTTTAAAATTCTAGGATATACAGTTTTATCCGCCAGAGCTTTTGATCTTGGTGGGAGCATCGAGAAAATTTTAACTCTTTATAAATCGAAGAATCGAAGATTGTGCTCCAAATTTCAAGTTTCTAGCTTCAATAACGCCAAACTAAACTGCGTTCAGACGGACAACAAGACGGACATTCACAAAACCAACTTACTTTCGCGAATAAACATAAAAATTATATAAATTTATTTCACTAACATAGTATAGAATCATTTGAGTGACGTCGGCATGGTTTTGTCTCTCTCCCTCTCTCTCTCTCTCTCTCTCATTCGCTCTCTCTCTCTCTCTCTGTCTGTCTCTATGTACATACATATGTATATACATTTCTAACAACGTCTTTTCATACATAAAGCTTTTGTCATTATTTCGCTGAATTTTTTTTTCGGCACGTCGTAATAGCCGGTGAATGACTGAAAAATATTAAATATATCGTCGGGATAAACGAATTGCCGTTAAAAACGGAACTTCTTTAGTATGCTCATAATGCATGTTATGCCTTAAGTGCAAGGACTATTATCTGGACTGAATGTATAATCCTAACTGAATATATAAAATGATATATGTATATATGAATAAATGCATATTCACCCTAAAGAACGTCATTGTTGATCCGCCCTCCAAAGTGCCATACTGAATTTCCGTTTGGTCGGCCAAATCAGCGGCACTCTCGATTGGTGTTATCATTCGTTCGACTGTCAAAAATGCAGCTAAATTTGCAGTGTATGACGAGATTATGATCAAACAGAAGAAAAACCAGCAGCCGCCCACAATGCGTGTCGATGTTGCCTGAAAATTACAAAAGGGCAAGATATAACATATGCACAATTAACTGAAAGATTTAAACGATTTGAACTATTGTGTTATCCGAATGTCGATGTACCGGAAAGGCAGTTACTTATGTCTACTTTACAGTAGAATCCAGCTCAAGCCTAAAAAATACATAACAAAAATTGTTGCCACACGACTGAAGTAGTTCCCAAATCCGAATATATATAGGGAGTATACATAGAGAGTATTATGTGATCCGATTCCAACAAAATAAACACTGAAGACGGATATGTAATAAAGGCGCCATGTCATATTGAGCCTATCTAATTCTGCATTAATTTCGATTACTTCCAGCTAATCCCACAAGACCTTACGTTGCCATACTTTGTAGGCTTTAGGTTGAAGCATATCTGTGAACCTGATTCTACATGGGCACCGATGTAAATTTTTGCAATACTGCGCTTCTAAACTATGTAATATGGATGGGGCAGATGGTAGTTAGTAGATGGTAATATTCATACCCTGGGATAGAGATCGGCCCCTTGCTGCATAAGAGCGCCGATTGCAAACCAAAAGCTATTTTTCAGTGTGAAACTATTCTGTACGGTCTCTAGTTCCAAAGTATCATCAGAATCTGAGTTATCGCCAAGATCGACATCAATGACATCGTTAGCATCATTATTATCATCGTTTTTATGTGTTCCATTATTGGTAGGGTTTTCAATGAATTTTAGTTCGAAATGGTCATAAGCATTATTCGCTTTACGAATTTTCCGTAGCATATGATCACAGGCCATGGTGCAGGCGGGCTTCGATCGTACCCACTCCATTGGCGATAGTCGTGCTACTATCCAGATACACATGGATACTAGAATGTACCCAAATGCTATATAAAACCAGATTTCGATAGCGAGCGGATTCATAAATGAGAAAAACTTGGTTTGTGCACGATCTGAAATCTGCAAGTGGATAATGTAACTTATATTAAATATATAAGAGTAAAGAAACCATTATTTTAATACATTGACCCATTGAAGACAGGGGAATACAATTATTAATATATACATATGTAGATATATGCGAGTACAATGCTTACCTTCGGATTCAGTCCAGATCCTTGCCTTAAGAACGTTCCCGTTATGAACCAAAAACTGTTTGATATCGAAAATTGATTCTCAACGATATCAGTATCCCTATAGCATGGATGCGGATTTTTCCATTCATATGGTGAAAATCGAGCCATCACAAATAGCGCGAATGATACTAATATATAAGCAGCTAGCACATACAACCATATCTCGATTGCCAATGGGTTCATAAAGGAAAACAGTCGTGTGGGTTGACTGGTTGGCACCTAAGGATAGTGATCAAGGGCCTTTAATCAATATAATGAAAAGCTAAACTTCAAGAAAATAAAAATATATGTAAATCTGTGTACATATGTATAGCTATGTACAAAACATATATGCAATTATTGCCCAGCGTCGTGACAAAATAACTAACAAGAAAATTGTAGTCGGATGCAACCGACTACTTTATACTCGCTCACAGCTGAGCGTCCTCTTTTCCTTCGCACGTGTCAAACCATAGACGACCGACGCGCGGAAGTCTTGAACTTGATAACGGATAAAACCAATATTCTCTTCACTTCAGAAACGAGAATAGTGATTAAGAGAATGTGAAACCCGTCCAAATATCAATGCTTGATTAGGAGCACTAGCCCATACGTGCACATACAGTATATTGATAGCAATAGCTACATATCAAATTTGGGCAAGTATTTCGGACCTGAATGATATAAATGATTATTACCTTGAATAGAATGCCAATGCCGAGATTCATAAATGGCTTAGTAAAGTCAATTACACTTTCTCTTGCATAGTTAATGGTCATCGAAGCCACGGCCAGATCAGCGCGCTATAAATTTGATAAAGTGCTATTATTATTAAAGTGCATATTTTGATATACAAATATAGAGATTTTCTTGCCCTTTCCATTAACTCCTGAACGATGCCATTCCAAGAGTTCGTTTCGGGTATGTACACCCCATACATATTATCGGGAACCAGTTCGATTTTATATTGAAAACCAACTTGTTGTGCTATGGCCTTCAGTAGATCAATGCAGAAGCCCTCAAATCTAGCGTTTCCCGTTATGTTTGCATCCTCCTTGACCATGACATACGGACGTTCCTTGAAGCTCGCAAACAGTAAATATTACGTTGAAAATGTATGCATATATTTTGGACATACCTCTCTCGTCATTACAATCAGCGTTATATTTGCAATATTGGAGTCGTAAAATGCCGTTGGGTCGGAAATATTAACGCCTACATCTGGCTGCCAAAAGCCCACCTTTTGTATTACCTCTTGCTTTAATTTGAGTATGTCGATTTTAAATTTGTTCCTTCGCCCCTCAATGAAGTTCACTTTCCCAGTCAAGCCATCAACTGCTGCCTGTAAGCATTGCAACCAAAATAATATAAGAATAACAAAAACCGAAATTCTATAAAAATAAACAATAAATATTATTTAAAAACGGATTTCCGATAAGGTTTTTAATCAACAACGAAAATAACTGCAGTAGTTATCGATTTTTGAAATTAAACTCGATATGCGGGTAACATTTACGAACCTACCTCTCTAGCTCTTATATATTCTTAGATCGATCGCGACGGACAGACGGATGGACAGACAGGCGGACAGTGCTAAGTCGACAGAATATACAAAATAACAATTATAACTCAAATTGCTCACATACCGAATTTATGTAGTTATAGAGAGAAAGTCCATCACTCCAAACTCTGTCTGAGTTACACGAAAGATTCTTAAAGGTTAATGTGTGACTGCTATCCAGTTGTTTGAGTCCATGGGCAAAGGCGTAGACTGAGTCAAACATCAGCGCAGATTCTGTCTGAAATAGTACATGGTAAACAAGTAAGTTAATGCAACGAACTAAATAATACTCTATCTAAAAGGAGCCTTCTAGTCTATACACCTCGCAAAATACACTAATGAAAGCTGTCCACTCTGCAAAGGACACATATAAAGTTTCTACTGATGACTTCCCTGCCGACTTACATTTAATTAAAGAAGCTATATATTGCATTAATTAATTTGTTTTGATTTTACATGGCTCCAACATTATATAAAATAATATAATATATAAAAGTGTCTTACTTCTTATAAAAATGCAAAAATCATCAAAAATTATAATGAAGTGGCAAACAACAGAGTTTCAATACCTATGTAACTGTACCTAACTTACCTGTATGTACGGGACCCCATTGATCAAATCTAGCCCGCTGTGCTGTAGTTTCTGCATCTGATCAATTATATCCTGATAACGCTTACTTCCGACATCAACTAATCGAAAAGCTGTTATATTGACGCTGTTGTATCGGAAATCCTCCAGATCATAGGTCTCCAAGTCCTAGACACAGATACAGAGATATTCAAAATTCTTGATCTAAGATATCTTGAGACAATGATACTCACGAAGGTGGTAAACATATAATGATATCGATGGTCGTTCATTTGCAGCTGCAAAATCTGTAATTGAGAACCGTTCAGAGTASAGTGTAAATCAATATATATATATATTCATTTATATACATGCATAGATTTAAAATGTATAATCAAATTTAAACATTATTCCCGAAATCTATTAGGGCATGCCACATATACATATATATGCTAGCTACAAATAGTTTTGCCAATTTCAAAATCCAAAACCCTTTTTTGTTTTTTAGCATAAGACAGAGCCCGGAGTGCCGCATTACATTTAGATTATGTATCACTGATCTGTCGTACCGTAACCTATGAGAAATGACAGGTACTGACTTCTTTAACTGATCATTTTCGATGATATAACGACGAACGTCGCTGAAGTACTTTGGGATTCACACAACAGAATATTAAGTTTTTCACTTCAACTTAAAAATTTGAATTTTGAAATATTTCCATTTGTTTCCTCTATGGTTTTACTATTGGGCTTTAGAAAAAGCAATTATTTCGATGCCAAGAACAATATACAAAGTTTTGGAAATAGCAGAGCCGTGCTTTAGTCTTCAAATGAATCTGATAAAATGTCATGTCATTTGGAAGCTCAATTACGGCAAGATTTAGTTTAAAATAATTTATAGCAGCATCTACTCATAGAACACACATATATGTACTAGAATAATAACAGTATATACAAAAGCAAATAATAGATAGAATAATCTTTCGTACTGATCGAAAAAATTTTTTGATATTAGTTGGATTTGTGTCAACTATTATTTTGTAAATTTCCTTTTGACGTATTGCACGTAAAACTTGACGATAAGTCTCCGGATTTGCTTGCCTTATATACATTTCGGTTCTCATCTCTGCGGATGAATGAATAAGGTCCTGTTGTTTGAAAAGTCCTGCAAAATATAAAACTAAGATACATACAAATTTCGAAAAAATTCGGATGATTACCGTATTTTGCAAATGTTCTCATGTTTATATATGAATAAGATTGTTATTTACCGTAATCTTCTTCGTAAATAATAGCGACTTTAGTCCAGTTGAGATACATCATCAGATCACGGTAGGCCAAATTCATGATGTTTTGAGAAGGATATAGGTTAATCGAGAATTCTTTGACACTAACTTCTAGATCGATGCGAGCTTCAATGTGAGGTATATCGAATGCTTCGCAAATTGATTGCACATGACTCGCTAGCGATGGATCGCTTGGACCGAATATGGCCTGAACACCAGCTTCCAATTGCCGACAGACCTTCTTCGTAGTCCGAAAAGAATCATCGCGGGGCACGTATTCGATATCATACACCAGCTGTGTGTTGGGCAGAAGTATTTTTTCTTTATTTATGCGATAAATCGCATATTTAAAGGCCGATTCGACACTACCTTCTCGTTCGTCCTCCGTAAAAATTGCACCTACAATTTGCGACAATTGAGGAACAATGATATTATCACGTTGTCAGTTAAAATGCAAAAAACTATTTAAAACAAGTAAGAACGTTGCAGTCTGGCGTTACCGACAGCGGAATACTCATTCGCATCCCATCAACAATTTAGTAGCTAAGTTTCGCTCTAATACTGTAGAAAATATGATTTCCGATTTGCCACGCCCCTACTGAGCGTAGACACCTCATTTTGGGCAGTTTTTCGAACAAGCTAATGGTACACTAACTACAAAATTTGAATGCTTACGCTTACGGCGTAAAAATTATTTTTGGATCATCGATAGAGGAGCTTACTTACTAGTTACTACTCAACTATACAAATTTGCTTTCTAGATATTATACTTTAGGAGATATGAACATTTGCGGTTTGCCACGCCCCCTTTGGGCGGACATATATCCGTCGAAGATTTTTGGTCTTGGGTGGTCAGCCCGAGTATATATACCAAATTCGAGGTCTCTACCATTAATAGTGTCCAAAATATAGCAGAATTAAAAAATCACTGTATGTTCAGGTCCGATTTGCCACGCCCCCAATGGGCGTAGATATATTCGCTATAGCTTGTAATCTTGGGTGGTCGATGCGGATCTACATTCCAAATTTCAGCTTTCTAGCTCGGACGGACAGCAAGACGGACATTGCACAAAACCAATATACTAATTCAGTTTCATGAATGAGTATAATAAATTATAGTGATGTTTGATATGATTAACTTTATATGATTTGGTCACATTTCAAAAACTTATTGCAATGATAATTTAATAACGCACCCATACAAATATGCATTCAATTTAAAAACAAGTAAGAAAGCTCTAGTCGACACTGCCCGACTACGAGATCCCCTGAGCCCTTCTAGAAACTGATATTTCAAATATTATTCGCATATGCACACACACACGTACACACACAGACATACGTACGCACGCATAAACACGCATTGGCTGCAGCGGTGGCTTACTATGAGAACTTAATTGTATAATAACTTTTCTTGTGGATTTATTTTTTTCATGAAACTTTCAGATTATGAATATAACATAGATATGCAAAGCATAAGTATTTGAAATACAAATGTGATGGTGGGGCAGTGAATTAGGGGTGGGGGATAAATTTTAACAAAAATCGAAATTGTATAAAATGCATATAAGTATACATATAAAATTTGGACTCTAGCTTTAAAGATGTAGGAAATATACATATATAATATTGTATACAAATATACATACGGACAGACGGACGGACGGACGGACAGACAGACAGAGGGACAGGGCCAAATCGACTCAGCTCGTCGAGCTGATCAAGAATATATATACTGTGTGGGGTCTGCCACGCCTCCTTCTGCCTGTTACATACTTTTTACAAAACCATTATATCCTGGTTTCCCATTTTCAATGGGTTTAGGGTATAAAATATTGGCTTATTAAATTTTAATTCGGTGAATAGAAGTAAATTCATAAATGAAGTTACCAATTCCAAAATAATCAAATACCCTAAGAAATTAACGTGTACCTACCGACTCGTATTACAGGTGGCAAGGCATTTGCTACCAGGACCATGGAAAACAAAGCCAAGTGCACGATAGTATATAGTCCGAAGGAGCGCTTCCATCGTATTGTCTCCTTTGACACTGGTGTGCCACGTTTCAATGACCGCAATCGCTTGCAACAAGAACAACAGTCGCTCAAATTGTACACGCACATACTATAATACATATTGCATATTGTTTAGTATGCCCTCTGATTTCGATTGCAGACTGGCGATTCGAGCTTATTCAAATTATTTAAAAGAAATGCGCTGTATTTCATAAACGGAATCAATAAAATATGCTTATATGCGCGAGTATATTTCTGTTGTATATTTGTACATACATATATAGTTTGAGCAACGAGAGTTCTATATGTGTAACCACGACTGCCACAACTAGTTTATATTTACCAAGCTTTCACATGGCTTCGAACCTTTACATGCATTTGCAAAGAGCATGCGCTAAAGCTCTACCCACTCGTTCAGGCAGAAGGTTGACTAAGCCATTATTATCGAAACACCGATTAAAATCGATGCTTGTTGTAAGATGAGGGTGGGGAAACCTTTTCAAATACAAGGCGTTTTTCTCAGATAATTCCATATTATATATATA